TCGAACCTAACTACATCCAACCTAACTACAAACGCACTCGTGACAAGTGCAAGCATTACTCCTTAACGCGCAATATTTGTGCAACATCTTGCGACGATTCATTATATATACACACACATGCAACGTGTAATACCTTACGCTACCTTACTATCCGACATTGACTTCACAGGAGTAGTTATGCATTTTTGTAGTATCTTTTAGAAAGAATACTTCTTCGCGCGAGAGAGAGACATCATTGTATTTTGTGCGCAGCATTTTTCCACATCTTCGACGCAAGTGAATACTTGCCAAGGCTTCGAACACACTTACGCAGTCACTATTTTCAAGCTGTGACGGGACCGTAAGTGGAGATTTCTCTACTAAAGACTATGTATTCTTCGTTGAATAAGCGTAACGCGAAAATAAATAAGATTATCGGCGCAAATTACTGAATAATTATAACTACACAGCGCAAAGCGAAATATACTTTCATCAAGTTACATAACTTTACGCAAGCGACCTATCAGAGTCTAACAAATCTTACGCCTTACATATAAATTAACACGATTAACATGCTACAATTGCTCTTAAATTGACCACGAATATTAACTTGTATAAGTCCTCTGACATTGAATCTTTTTTTCTAAAACAATCTTTAAATACCTAGTAACTAATATTAATAACGCTCCTTTAAAAATTATATTTTAGAGTATTATTCCTGAAAATATTTTTTGATAATTCATATTAGAAAGTATTTTTTCTTTCGCTAATGTTTGTGTATACATATATATGCAAAAATAAATATCATAGTATAAGTTACATCCTCTCCTTATGCGTCATATAATATTCTTTATCTAAATTGCATTATATGCGATTATAGGATGAAAAATTGACAAAAATGGAAATGATAAACAGGTTTTTTTTTTCGATATCTGAATTGCTCAGATAATCAAAATCTCGGATCGTTGAAAATCGACTAAAACAGTTCGATATATTAAATCTTGAATGTTCCCCCCACTCCCTTTGAACTATTTAATCACGCCATTTATGTGAATCCTTGCTCCTATGTAGAATATAAATTTGTTTATATAGTAATCTTAAATTGTAATACAAAGTGAAACGCAAAAGACACTCTTTCTTGATAGAGTAATATACGTAATTATTTATACAAATATATTTATGCATTTTTTTTTAACTTAAAAATCGATTCTCTATGCGACATTCATTTCCGACGATATCTAATTTAATTACATCAGAACATCATGTTATTCGAAAAATTTTTTCAATAAAATAAAATTACAACTTTTTAATTTTTGGCACTCCGAACATAAATAATAAAATTAAATACCTCACATTTTATTATATAGTAAACATGTATTACTATATAATATTTATCTCTGTAACTATATAAAATCTTACACTAATTTTTCAGTTTATTACATATAATATCAGCTATATTCTCACTTTGTATTATTCGTATATATATATATATGCTTGCATTAATATATATATATATATATATATATATATATATACGTATATATATTTAATATACATATATTTCTATATAAATCATTGACTTTACACTTCATCACAATATTTTGTTTACGCATCTGCGATCAAAAATATTTGTGTTTCATATTAATCTTACCAAACATTAATAACATAATAAAATGTTTGCAAAATATAAATATATTGTCATATATAAAATAAAATATATACAAATTATTTTTAAAATTTTATTAAATTAATTTTAAAAATTAATAATAAAAATTATATATATATATATATATATATATATATATTCAATTTTATACATAAAATTAAAATTACTAAAAGACAAAGTATGTAAGATGCATAAAAAATAATTGTTAAATACACCTTTTATAATTGGCAGTTACTGTTCTCTAACTGAACGCAAAATAAAGAAAATTACAATCATTCATATCTAATTAAATCCAACAGAGATAAATTTAGATAATTATAGGGATATCTTATAATAATATATAAATAATAATTGTTAATAATTAATATTATAATACATATGAGAATGAAGTGTAACAGATGATTATCATGATAATATACTGCCACTTTGATTGTCTCTATATTATCTTTCTTCAAATATATATGAAAATAATGTATAATATATATGGGATATACTCCGTAAAAATATTTTACAACTCAAATAAAACGTATAGAAATATTAGTTTTTTCTCATCTACTTCAAATAATAGATAATCTCCGATTATGCACCTTTACCTTTCACAGTATATTATCAATTCATATTCAATATATTATATGAGAGTAATTTTAATAGACTATACATCTCCGAATTACAATTAAATATTCTAGTTGTTTAACTAATCACTTTCGTATCCTAAATTTACAAATAATTTCTTATTTTATTCCTTAATAAATAATTTATTGTCCATCATGGAACAGTTCCTAATTCTATTTATTGTCTGCTCACACAGTATTGTCGGTTATTTAATATATTATCCATTTTTACAACTAAACTGTTGTCTGGATACTAAGGAAGACCATTTATTGTCCAATGTTTTTTTTCTTATTGTCTGTAAGTTCTTGCCTTAGAAAATCATTCTGAGATGTTTGAAGTATTAAAATTTTTCCAATTAATAAGAGCTTTTTTTAAATAATGTACTTTCAAAAGATAAATTTACTATTAAAATAAATGCTCTTTAAAAAAAAATAACTACTCTTTACCAAATATCACTTATATGCATTATATTTATTAATAATGCTAATGTTACTATTTCATTAAAATACAACAAAAATATATTGCTTTTATCCTTAAATGGCAAGAAAAAAATTTATTCATTTAAATTTAAAAAGTTTGCCAAAATTTAAAAGCCCAATCTTTGGGCTTTAAAACAAATTTCTTTTGAAATTTGCTCCACTATTATTTTTCGTTACTACAGTTATATAAATTTGTATCTGGCCATCTGTTTAAAGTGGCTCTTTAATTTGTTGTAGAACATTTAACGAAAAAGAGCATAAATTTCTTAAGAATAACAAGCGATCAAATTAACAAATATAGTTTATAAACTAAGCTAAATATTAATTCATCTCGGCCAACAATACTGCTATTCGTCTCGACGCTTAGAAAAAGTCTAAGTTAGAGAGTAAGGCTCCTATAGAGATTCCGTAAACAATACATCTTTTACAAAGTATAGTCATTGAAAAATGATTTCTCTAGAGTGTGCAGATCAAAAAGGTGCTGGTGCAGAGTATTGTCCCTAGAATTCAGTCAACATGTTTCTTACGTCTATATCAAATACAGGCCCTATGTACAGTGACGGATCCCGGCACTTCGAGGTCTTTCCTAGACGCAACTTGATTTGAAATTCTTCCACCCTTCTATAATATGTATACCTACTGTGCCTGACGAAAACTCCGTCACCGTCTACGAACGCTAATCTACAAGCCTCTATGCTTCAAATTGTTGACATTACGTATAACAATTTCAATATTATATTATTTACTTAGTGCTCGATACGCACACATGTAACAAATACTTCGTATTGAATTAGAATATGACAGGCTGAGCAACGCTGTCAAGTATGCAAATTATTTACTTGCAATTATTTTTTTATTCACCAAAAGATATCAGTGATATAATCAATTGAAAATATAACATTGCGATACTATATATAAAGCAAATTTGATATTTAAAATTTTCAATTAAATTTTCAATTAAATTTTCAATTTTCATCAATCAACGAATATATACAGGGCATATCTTAAAAAGCTCCCACTAAGCAAATAGCGTTATTCCTGATTAAAAACCGAGTCGAAAAGTCCTGAACCATTTTTTCCCCAAGATTCGTTAAATAATTAATCGGATTTAAGTATTAAAAAGATTTCTGAAAAGATGAATTGTTGAAAAATTAACACAAAACAGTTTATTTTTTTGCTTATCCAAATCTTCATATGTGATAGCGAGGAAGTTTGCTTTTTATTGGCGCGACTTTACTCTTTAATTACTGCTTTATTAAGGAAAAATGGATCAGGACTTTTCGATTCAGTTTTTAATCAGGAATAACGCTATTTGCTTAATGGGAACTTTTTAAGATACATCCTGTATATATGCAGAATCAGATTTTTATGTATGTATATAAAAAATGTCTTTTATACACATACTAATAATCAAAAATATTCAACGTTCTCAAATAAAATAAATATCGTAATAAATCATAATAAGTGTAAGAAATGTTTATCAAATGTTTTCCATTTTCTCGTTTGCTCAGCCCAACATCGGAGAGTTCTGGCATACCGTATTCTCGATACGATAAACGCTGGAAAATCCGAAACGAACAAAATTATGTGAGCGTAAATAAGCATTTAGACTGCAACGCTGTTTCTCATAGACTATAGTAGCGTTTACAGTAAGATACGTACTGATGTATTACTTCGTCATGGCAGTTCCTCCATCTCTGATTCGTACATTACATTAACACACCTCGAGATTTCCACCTCGTATATTTACACGGGTAAATACGGATTATGATATTGAAATTACGTGATTCGTTCAGCGTTTATCGTGTCCAGCGAAAGGCACGGTACGCAAGACAACGTCCCCCGTATGTCTACATTTACACATGAGATTGTAGTTTTAGATGTCTGACACGTGTTTCCAATAAACACGATTATTCTATAGGTATAACTGACTAGACATACGTTGCAATATTTTTTTACATCGATAAGCACATAGACGGTTCCTGTCGTAGAATATATTGTCGTATGTTATAATATTTCATTTAAAATATTTCTCCGACGGTATACACTGATTGCATTTCATGCAATAATCGTGTATGATATTTTTCCAACGGGTGTGCGCTTAACTCGTTCCTTTACAAAAATACAGTTTGTTTATATATATTGCGCATTTTTTCAATATGTACGTTTTTTTTTTTCTTTACCTTAACAGTACTTGTTAAATTATAATTTTTGGTAATATTAAGATATCTCTGTGTATGTGTATCACAAACTTTTGAAAAATTTTTTTAACTTGTTTTTACACAGGAATATAAGATGTAAAATGAAAGAGGCTATTTCAAAATAACGATTGTAACTTTCCTATTTGTACGCAAGAGGATTGTTCGTAAAAATCACAGATCTTCTATATAATTGTCATACAAATTGTCATACAAATATATAAGTCGCTAGAAATAGAACGACGGTGTAAGTCGAATTTATCTCCGTATTTCAGGAAATATTTAGGAGGATTTTACAAAGTGTTAAATGATAAATTCAGTTGTTTTTTATTATGCTTATCCACGTCATTGTAAACGAAAGATTAAAAAATTTTGTGTTTTATAAAATAGGAATCGCATAAATCCTAAAATGTATAATCTATTATATTAATTACATCGCTTATTCCGCTCTCAAAAACGACTCATATACCATTTAAACGTTAATTATCAATGAATACCGTTAAACGCACACCCTTTAAATCAAGAGTATCGACCACTTGGTGGCTCATATACGGCTGTCCTAAAATCGGCAGCGATACAAAATATTTTTTGTCGCATCATATGCGGTGATTTTCGTTTTGTGCACAAAGCCTCAAGTTTTTTTTTTGTTTTCTTATTTCAATACCAAAAGTACACACATGTCGGCATGTTGATCCTCTAGTAATTTCCTAGAAAATGGCTTATTTTATTTGAACTTATGTACGCAAACCTCCACAGCATTCGTATGCAGCTTCATTTAAATACAGTAGTGTATCCTATATGTTTCCGATTATCTGGTTCTCCATGTTCGAGTGGCTTATCTTATAATTCTTCTTACGAAAAATCGCGAAGGGATGAAACTTGATGTTTAGTCAGACGAGCTATGACTGAGAAAACTGCGATAGCAAATATCCAATATTCGGGGATGTTAATTCACGATATGAGGAGAATTTTTCCTGCTACGATTGCGGTCGATTAATCTTACTGTTATCACTCGAGGAAAGATTGATCGCATTGCGTCGGTATTTATTCAAAGCTCAGCAAACATTCACGATTGCCTGCTCATATCGGCTCCTGCCATCCGTGATTATTCAATTGACGAGATTAATGATCTTCTACTCAGCTCTCTTCTCTCTTCTCAGATATGTAGAAAATATTATTTTCCATGAACGATGTTGAAGACAATTCAGACCACACATATTTACTTTCGATTCTTTCTACGTCGTCAGCTGATAGGAAAGTCCATCCTTTTTCTACTTTTATTTTACTTCGATATTGTCTACAATTTTATCCGACTTGTTGAATATCTCGATTGATTACGTTTCTTCGTTATTTTTATTATCCTCGGAATACTTCGACATTTCTCTTTTAATCCACGATACATATTTGGGCACGTAAGCATAGACTCCGGGCAGTTTTGGATGAGCGCATTTTATGCCCCAGCTAACGATCCCCCCGACGAACCATCTCTCATTGTCGTGACTATCCTGACATAATAGAGGCCCTCCGGAATCGCCCTTAAATTAATTAGCGATTCGCATTATTTTTTATTTATAAAAATAATAGAAAATAACGTAAGATATTTTTGTAAGATATTTTTATTTGAATACGTTAGTTGTTTGATTAGACGATACGAAAAATTATTCGCATCATTCTACAGGATCGATATAATAGAATTGGACAATTTAACAATATTTCGCAATTTTTTTAAAAACGAAAGAGAGAAAGAGATCCCGATAATTAATACCGAGTAGTTAAACTCGAACAATAACACTGTGATTTTAAGACGTATTGGAAAATAATTATCATTTTTTTCCTCGGTATAAATAAATTTTTCGTTGTAATCCAACGGAAGAGACACATGTAAAAGATACAGTTTATTTAAAAAATTTACCTGACATGCATCCTTTCCTCCACTCGAATAGCCAGCGCAAATCATCCCGTCGGTGACGTTCAATTCTTTATGCGCTAACCACATGTTGCAGATTTGTCGATTTAAAACAGGAACTATGACCTCGTTTACAGTCGGCTCATATTCAGATGCTGAGAGAAAACATGAAATAGCAAACAATAAAGCTCTATTTTCGAAAAACGAGAGAAACCATATTACTACTTTCTATAATTAATTAAAAAGTTTAAAGCAAAAGTTTGTTGACTAAATTCATCATCTGTAAAATTTATTTTAATTATGATATTTTACATTCAAAACTATAGGTTTATTTCTTACTTTTGTTCTGAAAATTGCAACTGTCAAAAAGATAAAAAGTGCAGTCTTTATATAAATATAAATAAATAAATAAATATATTTGTGGATATAAACTTTTAATCTCATCGATTTTCAGCGATTTTTCTCTAATACTTACATTCGGTATCATTTTTCTTGCCCCAGCCGATGACGGTACAAAGTGTACCGGGTTTAAGATTAGTGGCAGCAGTTGGTAAACATACGGGCTTCAGATGATCGTTGTAGTGAACTCGCCTTTCCAGCTATGACACAAAGTATATCGCATAAAAAGATATCAAATTTAAAAAGACAATATTTGAATTTAAATAAAAATTAATTATTTTATATGTGACAGATACATCAAGTTTAAGAAATTTAAGTATTTTGCATATTGTTAATTGAATTTAGACTTAATAAAATGTATATTTACCTGGAACAACGCGATATCGTTGTCATGAGCGACACCCAAGTTGTAATTCGGATGAGCGATCACACGTTTCACTTTTAATTTTTGTCCCAGATAAGAATGAGAGAGTCTTCTAGTAATACCTAGCTGTATCGTCCAACCGGATATCTCCGAATGACTAAAATTATTCACGTGAGAGAAATCAATTCGTATTTTTTCGAGATTTTCAATTATTATTAACATGTGATGAAAAAACATTCATTGCTTAAAACTTTCAGCCATATTTTTCTCGCACAAATATTAATTTATTTAATCATATTGTACTTCATATCTACAATCATAAATTATATATAAACATATTGATATTGGAATTTATATAAATATTAATAATAATTCATATAAATATTGACTACCAATAATTGAAAATAATATTTTGTATTTGCATATCATACAGATATATGTTTTGTTTAAAATATGGAAACGGAACGGTGTATTTTGACATCGATTACTTACTTGCCCACGCAATGAGACGCAGTCAGAACCCATTGATCGGCAATGAGAACTCCGGCACAGTAAAATATCTGTTCGGGTCCACCCAGAATAGCTGCGAGAAATGGCCAATCGCCAGGTGATGATTCCATACCACCCACTATTCGTTTCACTCTCGTCTTGTTAACGTTTCTGCGGCCGCAAACTGCAGCAGAATCGATCTGTCACGTGTCGCAAAGAATTCTGGGAAAGATTTCAGAAGCAAATATCTTCGAATAATTTACCGTATCCATCGCAAGTAAGCGTGGTCATAGGATAAGGCTCCCGCTCCTTGATGCAACTTTGAAATTGTCTCAACAAAGGGAAATTCTCCCATTCGATATTATTATTCAGGTTAGGCTGTGTTGTGTTATTCATCAGCAAAGTCAATCCGAGGGAGGCCCTGAAAAAATGCAAGCGCATATACTTTTAATAATGTAGATCGTACATCTCGTATAAGAACTTATAGAATCACATATAAAAAATTTCGACTTTATTATGATTTATCGAATTGGAAAAAATAACTTACCTATATCCCAGCATGGCACAAATCTTTTCCGCCGACGTTAATTTCGAATTCGCGATACATGCTGGCATATATCTACCCATTTCAGCGTGATATACCTCCAAGCGTCCCTCACCAATATCCCCGTTCCTGTTGCTCAATCGCACTGGAAGATGAGAGAAAATATGAGTTCTTTTTTATAAAAATCACATCCATTAAATTAAATATTTTTCTTTTTTTAAATTGACATAGCTGATATATATATGTTATATCCATTAGTATTTTTTAAATTACGTGATTGCCATATTTGTCGTCAGCGTGTCAACGAAAAATGTCAAGATACTTTATTGTTCGAGAAAACTATAAGACCAAAATAAGGAAAAATGTTTTCCTCGATCAAAATAAATTTATTTATTTATTTATAGTCTCCTCAATAATTTAGAACAATTATTTTAACAACGTAATTTTGCGGTAATTATAATACAATTTGCTGTCTACACTTGTAATCCTTAATTTTAATTTAAAAAAATATAGAATAAGAATACATAGAAGTTTTCTTACTGCAATTCCGCTCGTCCTGCCCCCGAGGACAATCCCTAACTCCGTCACAGATATGACTGGCCGACATGCATTTCCTTTCGCCGCAATAACGCGGTAACGAAGAACTTGTGACGGCACTTTCGGCCGAGGGTCCCATGAGTATCTTGCCGAATATGATGGGCGTCGACATCGACACTGAGGACGACGAGTTGGAACTGCACATCCCACATCCGGTCTCGTCGCTCTGATCGGAACAATCGACGTGACCGTCGCATCGCCAATCTAATGGAATGCATCTTGTACGGTCGCATTGAAAACCGCTGTTGCATGCTATAAAAACGAATTGGGACAGAATCATGAAAGCTGCACACGTACTTCCTTCGTGATCGATATTGATTTGCAGTCGCATATATTTCATAAATATTAACCAAAAGTACCCTTCCACCAGTAACCGACATGTGTCAACTTTCGGAATGTGTCACGTACACTTGAAGTTTAACAGAGACTGCGTCGAGAAATTGTAGATAAAATATTTTTAGCAACATCTTGACACGTTCGCTTATTATAATATGAAAATATAATACGAAAATACGAAATAATACGATAATACGAAAATACAATAGGTTAATTAAATATTTTGATATTTCGCATCAATTTTCTGAAATAGATACTTTAATTTATACATATATATATATATATATATATATATATATTTATATAAATGAATAAAGATATTTAATTATATAAATGTTTAAAAATATTTCACTTTAATATCGTGAAAATGAATTATTCTATTTTCTCTTTTTGTTTCTTCTTATTATTTTAAGAGGAATTTGGACACTCATCCAGATATTTTATATAATACTTAGATAAAATATATATTTTTTTAAATATAAATTCCCCAAAGTAAAATAAAAAAAGTAAAATAAAAAATACTATTATATTCATACAAATTGCATAATGATATAACAACTTGCTAAGCATATCGAAAGCAAATTTTCTCACATCTTCGTCACATTTCGCGTAAAATCTACCACACATTAGAGAATATATATAAATAAATAAATAAAATAATATGTATAAATAAATAAATAAATAAATAAAATTATCCAAAAATACAATTGAATATAAAATTCCTCTGAATATAAAATTATTTTTACAAAATTATTTTTGACATTTAGGAGAAAAATCGTTATGTACTTAATCATGACAATAATACTTCACAATAATACTTCGTTATTATCGACATTTTTGAGATTTTAACTTTCTCAGAACGTCGCTATAAATTATAAAAGTTTGAAGATATTTTCCGCACATCGAAATGTCTTTGAACTACCTTACATTACATTCTCGCGCCAAGAGATGTTAACATTATCGACATTCCCTGCCATCGTGATATTATATCTTCCGCAATATGTCTTCTTGTACGATGGACATGATCGACCTCGTAGCTTAGTTCGATACTTTTACACGTATATATGTGTATATATATATATATATATATATATACACATATATACGTGTAAATATACGTGTATATATGTGTGTGTGTGTGTGTATATATATATTATACATTGCATCAGAGACGCGATATGTACACGTGCATCGAACGCGACTCAATAAAGCTGCTTGGCGCCGCAGATGGGTCGTCATACGATAGTTTAATATGGATTTTGCAATTAAGATTCCATCAGCGGTGACACACGCGATGTAACTCGGGGCCAACACAAAATCCGCGATACGCAGCCTGTACACAATGTGCGGTAACACGTACGCGTGCATACGGAGTGTCGCTAAACTTCTTCAATAATTACAGCGTCAGATACTGCTTTTACAGTGTCACATATAATGTATTACATAATAGAAGCATATGTCGAGAAATTTTCTATCATATAAATATTTCAGTTATAATAACAATATGTAAAAAAAATGCAATACCAAGAGAATCTACGTTTGCTTGGAAATATATGTTTAAAAAATTCTCCTCGATTGAAAACATGAATATAATTCGTATCGTTAACACAAATTTATTTATTTTTTAAGAATTAATTGTTTTAAGAATAAAAAAGAATAAACAGAAAAGAGAACCCTTTAGTACATAAAGAGAAATTAATTAATTAATTAATACATTTTTATCATTCGCACAAGAAATGGGACATTAATGAATGCAAATTGCAGAATATTCGCGATCGAAGAGCGATATATATACATATAAAAGAAAAGAATATTTAAGATATTATAAAAAAAAAACATTAAAAAATAAAGAGCCCCAAAGCATGATTTAGATGAAAAAAACCAATAATATTAATAAAATAATATTAAAGTAAAAATATGTAATACTATTAATAATAATATTAATAAAACAAATTTTGATCATTTTTTTATTTCAGTATCATACGAGTGAACCGTGTAAATATTCTTCAGTTTACAAAATATAATTTTTAGCGCCACTTAATCAGCGTTAATCAACAAAAACATTTACTGAAAATGTTTTAAGTATTTAACGCTGGTTAAATGGCGATAAAAATTTTATTCAAAGAATATTCAGACGTCACTATCTTCGATTTATTGGTTAACGCTGATCTAACAGAGGATTTTATACATTCTGGCCATCAGTGGGGTGACTATATCGCAGAAAAATTTTCATGCTGTATTGGGATTTGAATCCAAAATTCTTTATATAGCAGGCAAACATTTTTTGCCGCCTCAATCACACTGGAGATAAATCAAAATACAGAATGAGAAATAAAAGTTTTTTTCATATATTTCATCAATTTTTCTTTTTTTTCAATTCGGGCCTTAAAAAATAAAAATAAATAGCTACATTTAATTATTACTATGAATATTAAATAATTATTTTAAATATTAACTATTATTCCAATTTAAAATACATTAAGATATATAAATATTAACTGTTATGCAATAATTTAAAATATATAAAAAGTTATATCCTAATTAATAAAGATTCATTCATAAATATATTCAATCATAATCATTGCTTATGCATTAGAGTATTGTCATTTTTTTTCTTTCTTTCTCTTTTTCTTCAAAATATTTCTTTACAATATTTTCAATTACTTTGATATTCACTTCTTGCACACACGTATACTTTACGTCATTTAATTTCAAGCCGTGCTTAGTGAAGATACGAATCTTAGCAAAAACTCAAATGCATGGTCTTCGTTAAATAGTCCAATTGTTCTTGATAAAATTTCAGAGAATGAAGATAATTTTCTTTAGATAAAGTATTAGAATTTACTGATTAATAAAAGTACTTTAATAAAAGTATTTCCACGCTTATAAATGTATGTAATTTTATTTAGTTGAAGGGAGAGAGAGAAACGACATCGTTGAAGAATCTTGAAAGTTCATTGAACTCGTCCGATCGAGTGGACCTTGTAATTGCAACGCGACTCAATCTTAATTAAGCACGGATGCAAATGGATTTCTCTCTTTATCGGCGACGCGGATCCGACAATCGTGAGTTAAATTCCATCGCACGCGGGGCGAACGAGCACTTCCGATCAATTCCGTTCGCCATGCCTGTCACCGCGATTTATGTAATATTTGCTTTGGAAATTGCAGGGTGTGTACGCGCCCGTGCGCGATCATTTAATTCTCTCTCTCTCCTCTCACATCACAAAACCGCCCCACGAGCTTTTGAACATCGTTATCGCGTTATGCGTGTTGTACGTGACTATCTTTTAAACTCGACGAATGATATTGTTCGAGATGTTTTAGAATATTGTGTGTATCTCTCGTTGCTTTACAAACACTTCTGCCATCATATCCCCAACAAACTAAAACTAAAACACTACACAAATATAAGAAAAGAGGAGCAGGGCTAATGCATTTTCCGCAACGTTTCTTCGAGAATAATATATCGCATATTTATGTTACAATAATAATTTTAATAACAGCTACAACAATCGTTATCTGATATTAAAAACTTATGATATATCTGATATTAAAAGCTTTTTTATATTATTCTTTTTATATATATATATATATATATATATATATATATATATAATAAAGGAATAAAATAATAATAATAAAAGAATAAAAGAATAAAATGGAATTATTAAAATTTTCTCTTAAATATACATGAGAGAAAATTTGTCGTGATTTTTTTTTGCCATAGAGAATTAATTTTTCGCGGTGAGATTTGTTCCCGTTGTGATAAATTTGTTCTTTTTCTCTTTTCGATTTATTTTTTTTTACAGTGTATTCTTATATTTTTAAGAGCGTCATTCATAACACTGACAGCTTAAGAGTGCCATTACATCACATTATATTTTTAAAAGCCGCAAGACAATGTTTCGAAAATTTTGAAACATAAGCGGATTGAATCACATGTAATTTTGGATATAAAAGCAGGAATGCACTGTTTCTTTTTATCTTTTCGCTATTCAACGAATTTTTCATTATGTATATGCATTATATAAGTGTTTAAATTATTCGGAAATAGAGATAACAAGAAGCGAGCAAGGATTCTTAATATTAATGCATATTAATGTATTAATGTGTAATAATTAATCCGCGCGGAAAATCTAGACCAATTATAATTGTTTTATTAATATATAATCCAATAAAAAAATAGGAGGTTTATTATATTCCGCCAATACGTCACATTGTCTTATTTTGATGTGACATGCCGAATTTCCTGAGCTAAATAATCCACGAACTCGATCGATAGCCAATAATCATAGTCGTTTGATTCATAGATCTAATAGAAAACCCGGATTTCGATTCGCGAAACGCTTCTTATTATTCCGGATTCTCTTCTCGTGTCTTTCTCGCATCCTAATTATATCCTTCTTACATTATTTTACCTCTAATTCTTCTAAAAAGGAATTCGTTCGAGCGAGCACCCTATCGTAATTCGATACGCAAATAAAAACTACAATAAAAAACGTATCGATACTTTTTTCAGCTGTTTACGTATCACATATCATATCAAAAGTGTAAAAAAACATGTTTATTTACATGTCCATCTGTCATCGACTTTCTTATCGCGTTCAAGTGATTTATGTCTTAATTCAATTGAGACTATTTACTCCCACAGATTTGTTTCATATATTTTACTCCCACGCGCAATTATAACATCGGTGCATCTGAGCGTTTCCCCTTTAAACTTAGTTTATCAAAGACGCGCTTAATATATTATTGATATTTTTCGATTAAAGCAATTGTCGTTTGCATAAGAAGTAAATGTTTACATTATTTATATTTGTTTATAATTCTCAGCTATAATAACGTTATAATTTATATATTTATTTTATTAATACATTAATGTATATTAATATTAATGCATTAAATTACTTCTATTCATTTAATGTATATTAATATTAATGCATTAAATTACTTCTATTCATTTAAAGCGTATTTAAAATATCTTCTAACACGCCGAAACAAAAATGAATAAAAAAATAATTAATGTGTGTGTGTGTGTGTGTGTGATAGTTTATGTATTAACATCAATACCATTAAGAAACTGGGGATAGCAGTTTAACAATAATTATTATATATCAATAATTTTCTCATCACTATTTATTATCGTAACATTTCTGTGAATTAGAATTTAAGCTTTCTTTAATTTAAAAAAATAACTTATATATTACAGCAAAAATATTATTAATTTTAATTACAATTAATATATTTTATTTTTAGAAAGATATAGTAAATAAATATTTAAGAATTAGTTTGTTCTTTAATGAAATTTTTTTTAATACGTACGATTTTATAATAATCATTCACAAATAAATGATTTTTAACTTGCATTCAATATAAATTGAATCAAGTTTTTACCTTGAATATCTGGTTTTAAAGCGTACGTTTGTTTTAATATTGTTAAAGTCATAATGTATGTGAGGAAATTAATTAGCGATATATTGTAAAAATAAATTTACGCATTAATATGCATTTTCTTATATCTAGAATTACAATTCATTGATATATTTAATTATCATTAAAAGAATTAAATCTTTACAGAAATGGTTGCGAGCGAGTTTAATAGACCGAGCGTATCTAGCGAATTTCATGAGATATAGCCAAATTACTATATAAAATAGAACATAAGAGAAAGAGAAAGAGAGAGAACGAAGAACACCAAATATAAAAGCGAATCCTAGATATGAAAGGACAAGCGAACAATGGATATCGAGTTAGTCAACAATTAGTTCCGTTTTGCGGATCCATTCTGTATTTAATATTCACGTGTGATGAATTGGCATAGAACAAAAGCACGAAAAATACATAAATAACTATTATTTCGTATAAAAGCTCATGATGCAAAATATTTTATGCAGTGGTATGAGTGTGTATTATGATAAATGTTTAATCTGACATTAACTTCCGAAAGTGAAAGATACATTTCACGAAACAGGGATCAATATATTAAATATTTATATAGAGTAAAACGGGATTTAATGTGCTTTTCATTTGCTTAAATTAATATAAAATATACTTATGATGAACAGATTATCGACTCCTGTTTTGATCATATTTATTAGTACGTTCATTATGTCAATGAGAGAACCATTTTTCCTGCCAGGGCATATTACATCATTTTACTTTATTATTATTCTCGCTTTCTATTTTATTGATTTCTTTTTATAATATTAATTATTAAAAAAAATAATGCATTATAAAAATTAGCTTTATCTGCCAAGCGAACAGTTTCTCCATTGCAAAAACTGTTTAAACGCTGCTTTTTTAATCCATTATTAAGAACAAAGGAAATATAAAAGTTTTTTCTTTGATTGAATATATTTTTAATTGACTTAATTGACATCAAGATTATTTTAATTCTCCAATTTTATCAGCTTTTTTATCAAACATTTCCTTTTATTCGATAAGCCTCTATTAAAGATGCAAATATTCTTCAAAGAAATGATGGAGAAATTCCAGTAATAAAATAATTGAGAAAAAATGTCGCATAAAATATACACATGATTATATAATATATACGTGAATATATAAACGATAAAAAACGTTGAGAGAAAATATATCAAATAATTCGTCTTCTTTTGTTTATTATGAGCTTAAAGTAAAGACGAACTTTTAACTTTTCTTTGATCTGGTAGGAAAATACAAGATTTAGTCAGGAATAATAATGAAATGGTAAAGTATAAAAAGTGAGACGATAAGCTGTGGATTTATCGTGCTGGTGTTGAAACTTGAGTGCTAAAATTTTTTTTTTAAATTTATTTTTCACTCACTCGCTCTCTGGGCTCTTTTCTCTGCTTCGATCACTTCGTAATATCCGATGCATTCATCGGGATTTGAACTCTCGGGAAAGAGTTCACACTCCAAATAATCCGGGAGAGACAAACCGAAAACCTTGAGAAAGAAGCCGCAGCGTCTCTTGGTTTCTGAAATTGATTGAAGAGAAATTTGTTTTCTCGCCGGTCTCGAAACTGGAATATCAAGTAGTTATAAGGGTTGTGATATTCCAAGTTCAGGAAATATGGCGATTCAACGGGTATAAAGATTTTATCATATATTTACATAACCGAACAGTGAGAACAAACATTATTAAAAATTTACGTTACATATATCTCGTTTGTCGAATAATACAAATTTAATATCGACAAAATGAAAATTATTTATCAAAAATTCGAATAATTGTTTCAGCATCATATTATTTATCAAAAATTTATCAAATTATTTATCAAAAATTCGAATAATTGTTTCAGCATTATATTATAACACATCGTAAAACGAAATTATGACACAATAATTATATCAAAATAAAATATATCATAAAATAATATATTAGGATAAAATGCAAAATAAGAATAATCTCTCCGTTAAAATATATAAATAAATAAAAATAAAATAATTTGTTCTGTAAAATTAATAAATAAAATCGCCATTCCTGGATAAAATAACAAACAAACTTACGATGGCAGAGACTGCGACAAGGAAATACGACACGACCGCCGTAACCGCATTTTGGCACGAAGACGCTGCACAGAAATAGGGCTGCCAATTCGTAACATCTGACATCGACAACGGCATCGTAAAGCTCCAATTCGTGCTGGGCCTCTCGCTGTCCGAAATTGCCCATGTAATTTGGGAACACGGTATAGTTGTACGGAACCTGCAATTAAGATTTTGCGATCACGCATGAATCTCTTGGAAATTTCATTATCGTAGGAGATGTCAAGGAGATGTCACCATCCCTTATAGGAAAATCATGCTTTATAGGAGGGATTCAAACCGCTATTAATTTAAATCGCTATTAATTTAATCAGATAAAGTACATTTAAAATCCGTAGTAAAAATTAAAACGATTAATTAATGGAGAATTAATTAGAATTAATTAATCATCTCGAAGGAAGAGAATTTTCTTACGAGCGAACTCCAATTCGAGATGTCTATCTTAATGAAATGAAATTCACGAATCACAATTGTTATCGTAAGACTTCCGTATTAAATCCCCTAATGTGAGGTAACACCTTCGCGATTTTCGTTGCCGCTCGATCTCTCGTTCATGCCCGGACACGTACGTTTTCCAGAACGCGCAACGAGAGCGCCTTATGAATTTTAAAACGTACGTCGGTCCAAGCATGCGCACGTCACGCCGAAATAGTGGGGAAAAAAGTAATCTTGAAATGTATTCTCAGGGACGGATGCGTTGAAATTACGAGCGACGACGGCTGCTTCTAATGCCTGTCGACGGACATTTTCCGCAGGAGGGTGAAACTAACGTTGTCACTCTCGAAACTCGAAAACAAGTGGCACGCCGGAACAAATTCCGGAGTATCTGACCTACACGTCCATTTTTCACGATATTATTTGGAATTTTTCTTTTAAAGAACAGTCAAATATCCTTTCCCGTAAAAAAAAATAATATGAATAATCGCTAGTAAATAGATGTTGATCGATTGCTCTTCGTATGAGGGAATGAAATATTTCTGGAACAGGATAATGATTTCTTTTGATTGAATTTCGAATAAATGTGCATTTAGATGAAATATAGCATAGTTACATTATGTTGCTGACAAAAGTTCACGATGATGGGTAAACATACTCCTGGGGCAGGATTCTTATCCTCCGTTGAATGCGTGCGTTCAGCTATCGGGATGATGGTGTACATGGCTCCTTTGCCCAACTTTAAGTCACTTTCGGGAACTTTTGCTAATCAATGAAAAAAAATACATACGTCGATATAACAAGAGCAAATATTCGTTAAAATAACATAGATCGGTATAATTTATTATTTTGTCATTAATCAAATTACAAGGATTATAAATTAAATATATATTTGTCGTGCGTTGATTCCCCCCAGATTTGTCTCGGAACAAAAAAAATATATCGATATACCAGTCACATTGGAGTATCTAGTAATCTGGGAAATACGTGTGCATGTGTGCACGCGCATATATGTGTGGGCATATGTATATGTGGGTTCTAAACTTTCGTAATTATTATCATGTCACCTGCAGAGACACGCGATGGCACTTAACATCGCGATGTTTCCAAATATTATCACTCGGTATATGCGGGCGTTACTGTAGATTATCGTGAAATTATAAAGAGGTAAATGCATTAAATTAAAAATATATCTTTTAATTACTTTATAAAAAGTGCGATAATTCTCAAGTGCTCATAATTGACAAATAATTTCAAAATAACTTCATGTATAAATTGTACAGAATTGCAATAAAAATGTTATTTAATTTGTTATTTTAAAATTATTCTCGAAATGAGTTAAAATTGATCCCGCTGTCTGATAATTAATTTAATCCACTACAAATTTAATGTGCGCTAATAAAATATTTGATATTTCAAAGATAAAAGGCGTTAAAAAATTAATATACATATATATACATAAGAAGCATCACGAGGAATATCTTTCATTGGTTGCTAAGCTAATGTTAACATTTGAAATCAAATGGATCGCGTGAACTCGTGGTGTTATTGATCTTTCGGTCATGCGAAGCTCACGTTGTTCTACATACGCGCGAATTAAAGCATTTAGAGAAGCGAAAACAATCGTGTTAATTTCGGTCAGATACTACGCATTGTGTTCAATGGTTTTCGATTTCACTCGCATTATTTATTATACGTCTAGAGAAAAATATAACATTTTTTCAATGACTTTAATAATTTTACTTTTTAACCTTAACTTGATTAATGATATTTAATTCTTTAAATCTTGATAATAATTTAAATTACCAGTATTTACGATAATTTAAATTAGCAGTATTATATATTATGCTATATTATAGAAAATATTTGCATTAGTGATTTGATTGAGAAAAGGGAAAGAGGAAAGGAAAAATAGAGCTCTATCGTGTAATATATAATTAAATATTTTATAAGCTCACTTTTGAGATACGCAGCTATACCGCCGGCAATAGCCAACAGGGCGAGGGCATTAAGCAGAATCTGTATAAATCTGAAACGTAGTCTTCCCGTAGTCACGTAGTGGCTGCTAGTCATGTCCTTGATTATCTGAGCAGAGACAGACAGTCACATCAGGAATTCAGAACATGTGCTCGCAAAATACACACTATGATGTTAGCAAAAAATAAAATGTGATGTAAACTATGTAAATAAACATTTTCTACATTTAACTGTTTAATTTTAAAATGTAAGAATTCGAAAAAATCTAATTTATATATTTAATAAAATTAAAATGTATACATTAATTTAATATTTAATAAATTATTATTTAATTATTTAATAAAATTATTTAATAAAATGAAAATAAAAATTTATATATTTAAAGATCGAAGATATATCTATATAGGAAAATCGATATCTTGCACGTTTCCACCCTTAACATTGACAGTTGGCGTTATATTTGGCTTACTCACTTTGTGATGCAGGGAACTATTGTTTCCATGAATTCTGACGATGGTCTGCAAACTGGCCGGCGTGCTTGTCGACTTCGTTATCGGCCTACCAGATGAGTTGTCAGGCTCCGACACCAAAGCTCTGTCTGAAAAGCATAAAGAGCGAAATCGATCATTTTGCGGGATTTCTTTGTCGCGTGAAGTCGATTTATCGTTAATTTAAAATGTTTTCAAAATATAAATTTTAAAAATTGTGATACGCTAAATACGTTAAATTTTTTGCAAATTGAATTTCTTTCCTGATTGGGAGACTTTTCGTTTCTTATTCCTTTTGTTTGTTTTGTTTCAGATAGACATATTTAACAATGGTATAACGGAGCAACAAAATAAATGGAATAAAAGAAATGACGTGTGTGTGGGCGACAAAAGTGAGAAAAACTTTTCATCTTGTTTCTCGCGGCTGTCGCGTTTTGCGGTGGCATTTATCCGTTATTCTCAAGGAGCAACCTTAAGCTTTGCGAAAAGAATAAAATAACGAGAAAATTTCAATTTTATATGCCTTAGATAGAATAAAGAGAAAATGTCATAGAATACTTCTCTCTTATATCTTAAGTCTCTGTTTAAATTAATTTTTATAACTTTTTTTATAAGTCAATATATGTAATGTATTATTAATTATAAAAATTATCTTTATTTTAATTTTATTAACACTTTTAATAATTTAATTTTAATTTTAATTTAGATATATACATAAATAATATTAATTTAACATTTCAAAATGCAATGTATTTATTAATTATAATATTTATATAATTGTTAATATCATTTTCTGTTATTTTATAAATTTCATTAAAATTCTAAATATATAATTATGTCTATATTAACGATCATTTGTGTCTGTATATTGTTTACAATTATAAATTATTTGGAATGTTTAGAGAACTATACGAAAAATTGCGTTACAAGCAATCCTCGCAAATGTCTTATTCATTTTGACATAAAGCCGTAAAAGACTAAGAAAAGAGATAATATATCACTTTGATATCATAAGTAAATTTGCAGAAAAGTCTTTTAGCATAAAATACAGTGTTCCATCTAACTTTTTAAGCTTTACAGCAAAATTAATTTACAAAATATTTATTTATTAAACTTAATAAATGAAATAATTTTTTGAAATTTATATACTATTTATGATTTCTAAGTTGAACAGCTTTTATTTTATTTTCCCTAACAATCGACATTATTTATATATACCGTTTTAAAATAAATTTTATTGTAGGATTTAAGAAAAAATAGATATTATATATAAGATATTATATTTTATAAAAATTATCTTATGCTAACAAATTCTCTCCTTTCACGATGCTACTATTCTATCTGCTAATGAATTCTTTGCCAACGACAACGCTTCTTCCCTAAGAACGAGTCAATAAGCTTCGCAAACTAAACATACCTGGGACTTTGCCATGCTTGTGAGGCAGAAGAGGTGCTTCCATTGTCTTGCTGGTATAACTGGGCGAGCTGGTCTGACTGAAACTATCCGAGGAAACGTTACTGTCCTGTCGGACACTGATAGGTTTCGGTACAGGATTCTGACAAATGGCGCTCAGAGGCGGTGGTAGATTCGTCTGCGTTGCCTTCGGCAATTTCTCGAGTTTCTCGCTGCCGCCTCGCTCCTTCCTGAGATTATGTTGTAGAATATTCCTGGCTCTCTCCATATCACTTTCGTATTTGCTTCGTGTTATTGGATGATGCTGTTGCTGCTCGCTATGGAAACGTCTGTCGAGCTCCTGCGGGATACCTTCCAGGTCCTCGTATCTAAATATAATGCGAATCGCGCTTTTACATTCACTCGACGAGTCAATTAGGAGAGTCAATCTGCATTTATGAATTAAAATGCGCGATGAAAATATAGAGAAAAAGAGAGAAAAAGAAAGAGAGCGGGGAACTTGTCGCACCTAGGTGGCTTGTCCTTGTTTATGCGTCTTTCCATCTCCTGACGTCGACGATCATCATCTTCGTGCAAACGTCTCTCTAGATTCTTCGAGGCCGCTTGCAGCTCCTCGAACTTTGATCTTCGATTCTCGCGATTAGCTGCCAAAATCGTCGCGTACTTTGATTCATCCTTCGGAAAGATCTCCCTTCGAGGTAACGACGTCTCTTCTCTGGGTTTACCTTCGCATGATTCTTTCTGCTCGGAATTGCTGGATTCGTTTTCTTTCGTAAACTTCGATAATTGTTGTCTATTTCAAAAGGAAAAGACTTCCTTGTGATGTGGTTAAGATAATGTTATTTCTCGTATTAATAATTCGTAAAAAATCTTTAAAATCATCAGATTTGCAATTATCAGTAATTAACCATTTGTTCAAAACACTGATTAAGGTAAAAATATTATTTTTTTATAATTTTCAAAGCTCAAATAATTCTCCAAATTATTATATTTGCTTTGATTAAAGCACAATCACTACATATGTATTCTAAAAAAATAGGGAATTTATTGAAATAAATAATCATTCTTACGGAATTAATTTTTTTTAATATACGATTCATATTCATTTTAAATTACAAGAGATTCAGAAATACGCGTCAACAGTTACTAGAATACCTGGTGGATATTTTTTAATGCAACGAATAGAATCTAGACTTACGCTTCGTTTAACGAATCTATCATGAGCGTAATCGTCCGTAATATCTTGCGCCAAATCGACCCAAACTTTAGAGAGATAGAGAGGAAGAGAGAGAGAGAGAAAAAGAGAGAATGCAAGTATGCTTCAGGGTAGTGAAGCGCGGCAAAATCCTGCATTGGAGTAGTTTTAGAGTATTTCAAAAGTACTCGGCGTTAAATATAATGGATTCTATATAATATGTATATACAAGTCCGATAAAACAATTGCTTACATATTTACACGATATGGTGCACAGAACAGCACAATAAAATAATGTGCTGTAGAATCATCTCAAAAAATTCCAAGAAATATAAGAAGAAATAAAAGAAGAATTACGTATATATGTTATAGTAATGTATAATTAAAAAATAATAAAATTATATAAATTGTAAAATTATATAATTACCTATATAAATAATATAATTACCTATTATGTCGGGAAACGGTAGCAGTTCCTTGTCGTTGACGAGTGTCCATTCGACCATTCGAGTCTTCGAACTTGGCCTCAGCGCTCTTAACAATTCTCTCGTGGAGTCTCTTCTCAAGATCCAACGAGGCCTTCTGCAGCTCCTCAAAGCTCGAATTTTGCGCGAGCTTGCGTCCTTCCTGAAAGTTCGCTCTCTCGAAGTCGACCACGAAATCGTTATGCTCATTCGTCTTCTGCTCCTCTTTTTCGCCGTAACTTAGTAAGTAATTCTGTAATGCGCAAAGAAAAGAAAGCATAGAAATTTATTTCAAGTTCCAGCTCGATGAGCTAATGATTTTTAATGATGTCGAAGTAATTGATATAAAGTTAATTCATTAATTCATATTCAAGATAACACAAATTGACAGATACCAACTTTAATATTATTAAGAAACATGAGTTATTTTATTCTCAGTATTTATTGAATGATTAATGTGAGTGACTTTTTAAAAAATATAGCTAATGTTTAGTCAACTTTTTAATTTGTACTCATAGAGAGAATAAAATTAGGAAATATTATGTGTTATTTCGAGATCGTTGTGAAAATTGTGTAGGTAGCAGAAGAATAATTTTCTCTGAAGTTAATATTTGAAGGTATTTACATTAATTGTTACACTAATGTAGTACATATTCTATTGCGAACGAGAAATGCAAATTACGGAGCTTACAAATTTCGAGAATTGAAATCGAGATGCGTTCACGTGATCGAACTAAAATAGACTGGCTAACGCAACTGTTTTTCGTTTTCGTTTCGATCAGCTGAGCCGATCAGCTGACGACAACTCGGTAACGCGGGACGCACGCGGTAAGACGCGTGGACAGAAAGAAACGTAAACACCGTTGATCGAAATAATAAACCGTTGCACGAGATGAATCTAAGTTAAATTTAAAAGTCTTAACACTATGGATGATTTAATCAGAAAATTCTATTTTTGGAATAGCTATAAACAATTTACTTTCAATATTGTTTCTTTCACGAGATTACTCACATATTATGCTCACCTGTGATTTCTGATCTTGATCTCTGAAAGGACCCAAGTCTATAAGTTTTTCATTTGTCGAGTCTATCTTGTTCCATGCAGCCAACATCCTCGATGCGGACGAAGGATCACTCGCTTTGCGACGAGTCACCTGATTGTCTTGCCTGGATGTGGGTTGCAGGGGTATAGGTTTTTCATTCTTGCTTCTCTTCGGAATCGCTGGCGGCCTCAGCGGAATCGGAGGTGGTGCTACCTGTATTAAAAATAGAGTGCTCTATATCTCCTCTTTATGTTCATGTTTTTTAAGAATAATAAGAAAAGTTTCTTTCTTTTTTTGTTTTTTCTTTCAGGTCTTATTATTTTTTAAAAAGTTTTTAATCTCAAGTTTTGGGGAATAATACACATTAAATAGACCAATAAAAGATGTTCGAGAATTAAATTTTTTACACAAGATTTCATTTGTTTTTATATTTTTTATCAGGTTTTCCTTTGATTTTGATTTAAATTTTTAATTTAGTTTTTATACTCTTTTATATTTAATGGCTTTACGCGGATTATAAAAGTTACTTTGGGAAAATTCCCTCTTAGACAAATACACTAGTAATTTATGGTGAAAATCATCATTTCGTAATAAGTGTTCACTGACAACGAGTTACGTGATTTGCGTAAATTGACGTGAAAGTTACGCGCAAAGTTACAACGCTTATCACTGTTCGAAGATAAACATCAAGTTTAACCGGCTTGTTGACATGCGTAAAGTAACATACAAGTTCATTAGCTCTAAACATTTATCGTCGACAAACCCTCTTTGCATGAATCACGCTTTAATACCTTAAGCACTTTAGAGATGCGTTTATCGAGTGCTTTGAGTGTCATCATATTTTTCTCGAATTTGTTGATAAACAAACATTAATCTATTGATGCTTTACGTTTATGTAAAATAAAAAATATAAGCTTCCATTTCCACTAATAAATCTAATAATTGCATATACAGGGTGTCTCATGACTGAAGGTCCATACTTTAAGGGCATGATGCCATTTAGAGTAAAAAAAGTCTAATAAACATATGTCCGCAAATGCTTCCGCGTTAATCTAATATATTTGATCTTTTTACTTTAAAGTTCACACATGCTAAAACATTACACTAATATAACAAGATTTATTATCTGTTTTTAATTAAATTAGATCTTAGATTTAAATTTTTCTCTTTCCCTATAATAATACAAACTAATGCAAATTTAAGAATAAAAATAACAAATAAATTTTGAATACGTATTATTTTTATATGATAAAATTTGACGAGTTTTATTAAAAATCAACAATAAATTATCTATTTTTAGTTCAAATCATACTAAATGAAAAATATTTAAAGTACAATGGTATATTACATGTACATACACAGGATAATGTTTTAAATATTCATTAAAGATATTTTGATGCAACAAATTTACAAAGAAAAGATGTTTTAAATAAGAGTTGCTTTATTTTATAAAATAAAAAAGTAGTGATCTTGAATAGTAAAGTCGTATCAAAATTAAAAACAGAGAATTTTTTTTCAAATAAGAACTCTTTCAATTTTTATCGCTTATTCTTGTAACTAAAATTGCATTATTACAACATTAAAATATCATTAAACGTCATCTCGCGTATGATACACGATTATATATTTTTGTAACGTAATTAATCTTTCTTTCCGCAAAAGACCATTGTGCAAAATTTTAATTTAACCGATCAATCTTTCCTTCTGGCAATATTAATCCGTAAAGTAGCGGTGTACCGCTAACTACCGGTGGCTTTAGCCGCCTGATTTAAGATGATATGAATGTTATATATATATATATATATATATATATATATATATATATACATTGAAATACCGACGATGCGGTTGCAACTTTCCAAACTTATCTCGTGGGAGGAAATACAAAGTTCGAAAATCCCTTTAGTACCTCCCATTCTGTCTCCTTTGCTCATTACAGCAACTTTCCCTTTAACATGTTTCAATTATCCGACATACAATGTTTTATCAGACCAGATAGCTGACAAACTATAAATATGTATTAATAATTAATGTTTTCTTTGGCGAAAATGTACTCCAACATATTTATTTATATATATTTGTTACATATATTTGTTTACATATATTTATTCTACATATGATTATATTATTATAAATGTGTGTCAATATAAGAAATAAGAGAAAAATCTTCGAATAATATAATTTTATATCAATTTTATTTTATTTTATATTTTATATTATACTTATCGAGATAAAAAAAGAGACAAATATTTAATTAAGTAATATTTTAAATAATTAATGTTGGCAAATATGTATAACAAATATGTTAAATGATTTATATAAATAAGATATTTTGGAGACTGTCGAGATTTGTTAAAATTAAATCATAATTAATCTCGAACGAATACATTCTAAATCAAATAAATAATGAAAATACGATAAAGAAAGTCGCGTTGAAATTGAATTTATTAATTTACGAGACAATAATCAGAAATAAATAAAATTTGTTACCGCTGGAGTAGCAGAATGTCGACGTGGTATTGGCGGCGGTATATCATTTCCGGTGAGCGGCGGTTGCGGAAGTAGTGAAGTTCTAGCTGGTAGACTAACGCTATGAATTCTGCTCTCCCTGAAATTCAAAATATATCATTGAAACTCTCCCTTTCTCTGTCGCTATCAGTTTTCGTTCAATTTTAATTTATTAATAAAATAATTTAAATTAAAGAAAAACAGTTAATTAATTAACAATATCTTCCCATCAAGAATTTTTGGGACCGATAGATCTTCCTTATTACTAAACAATTGCTATAATTTCATTACTACAAATATTTAAAAAGAATATAAAAGAGAGGTAAATAATGTAAACATTTTCAAATGCGATTACAATATTATTGTAATTTAACCTTAAAAACTATCAAAATAATCTTTGCGTTGCGGAAGAGCATACGCCGTATCCTTTCTCTAGTATTAGACATAATAAATTGCATCAGTATATTTGCAATTGTTACTGTCTCCAAGTTATAGAAATTAATAAACGTTGAAACGGCTTTTAGATGATCCAATCACAGTGTCAGTCGTTAAAAGCCAAACATTAAAGTTATGCATGACGAAATAATATTATATAGTATCGCATTATTTTATAAATATCTATCTAATAACTTTTATATTGACAAAAAACACACGTCTATCTACACAGAAAAACCCATTGCGATTTTCCAGAAATCGTTATGTTTATCTTATAGCTGCAAAGTTCGTGTATCTGCTTTTAAAAATGTTCACGTGTTACGTATCAAAGTGTATTATGATATTCATATATCAAGAATTTATTGCGTACATAGCCTTCTCCGAATATTACGCTTCTTCAATGTGACATATTTTTCGCATAAGATAAAAATATCCATGACAAAGTATATGTATGCATACAAGTGTGTAATAGAAAATTGTAATTAATTTTTTTTAGAAATTATGCTTGCTAATGAATGTATTTCTTATACATTCAATCAAAAATGTAAAATATATTTGATAAAATTTAATACATGTTATAAAATAAAATATATATTGTAAAATAATATATTTACTTTTAATCAAACGATAGTGAATATTAAGTTTGAAAGCAAAATTATAAGAATGTAGACACTCTTTATATTTCTATTATTATTATTTGACACATCGTATCTTTATATTTTGATGATTGTAAAAAATTATTTCTCATGAAATTCACGATTCAGTAAAACACATATGTACATTTTATCAAAGCTACAGTACATGCAATATTGATCGTGCTTGAAAAATATCTCTTTTATCAAAAACATCTCTAATAATTTTAAAATTTATATTTTTGAGAAAAAAGACTAAAAATATTTAAAAATTTAAATAATACTTTGCATTCATTTTATGCTTTTCATTGATATTTATACGTTTATATAGACATATAATGTATATAATATATTATATATATATATATATATATATATATATATATTCTTAATATATAATGTATTCTTTTAATATATTTAGTAAGAGAAATAAAAATATTTCTATAAAATATTTTCTATAATCTATATTTCTGATAAAATGTATAATTGTAATATAAATAATATAAGTATCTCCCTTCTCTAGAAGCACGAAACTGTGAATGTTAATCGCATTTTACAGTACATATATATATATAAGCGCCGCTTGTTCAGAGCAGTAACTTAGAAACGTAGATTGACACAACTTGTAAATAAGCGCTACAGAATGCGATTATTGTGTTTGTCATTAGCGCTCGCTATAATCTATATTATGGCAATCATGCACTCTTCTAGAGTGGAAGCGAGAGCAACCACTTCTCCTGATTTATCTTCTTCTTCTTCTTCCGAAAGTTGGGAAATACCTCCAAAACCTCCAAAACCACCTACTTCTGCGGATCTCGACGAAGATGCTGCTTTAGCCAGACCAATTGTTAATGCCGTAAGCTTAATTATAAATTTCGTATTCGAGGGGAGGAGGAGTTTCCTATAAATTAACAGTATAGCAATCATGCGAATTTTAATCGTGTTTTTTTGTATTAAAAATATTGAATTGACCAAAAAGTTTTTTTCAATTTTTTTATTAGATAGATGTAGCATCACCATATGTAGCTTATGTTAATTCCAATTTCATGTGCGTATATAAAATGATCTATTAACATTTCAATTGTTTAAAAAAAATAGAAATGATGATCGTGTTTGACATTAGCTTGAAAGTGAAAAGGAATAAGAAAGTGTATTCAATTTTATTACTATTAATATCGGTTTTATGTTTCTGCGATCGGTTTTATCATTAGACTGAGGACCAGAAAGATAATAGAAGATAATCGAACAAAATTAATCTTTCTTCATCTCTTTTTTTTTTTAAATATCCATATATTATTAAATTAAGTTTTATACATGAAACTCGTTTTTAAATTTTCTTAAAAAAACGAAAAGATTTGTTTGTCCAATCCAATATATTAATTTATGAAATTTAAAGAACTTTTCAAGACATTTACATTTCGATATATATTATACTAATTTAAAAATAACAATTTTAGAGTATACAATAATAAATATAGTATATATATAACTAATTAGTATATTAATTTTCAGGAACTGATTTATGTATACATATGTATATGTTTATTAGATGCATATCCATTATGTATATATTTCTTAGAGATATTTTAATCTTTATTTCATATGTCATACAAAAAGATCGTAAAATACAGGTGCTTAAAAATAAATTAGCATGATATTTATAAAAATAAATTGCTTTTCTTCTTACTTTATATTTTAAAAGAGATCTGGACACTCATTTACAATGCTAAATATAATATTTTCAAAATAATATAAAAATCTTGAAAAAAATAAAAATAAAAATATTATTACATAAATAAATAAAGCGATATGCACATAATTTTTGCATATAAAGTTTTAATTTCTCTGTGCATAGAGAAATGATCATACAATCTTAGTAGTGCAATAGTAAAACCATTTTTTTTAATTCTCTACAACATTATGAAGATTTAATTTTGTCCATTCGTTATCATAAAAATGTCAAAGCTATTAGCATTTCTGAGATTTTAACGATATCAAAATGATATTATAAAAGTATCAAAATCCTTACATATAAAAGTATCAAAATCTTCCCAAAATGATACTAAACTATTATATATCACTTACAATATTTTTACATAAAAAATTTAATCTGTTAATTCAGTGTAGGTTTCTATTTTTCTAAATCTTTTCTTGAGTAAAATCAATTTCAAATATCAAAAAAAATATATAAAACTTATCAATAAAATTTATAGTGATTTATAATGATAATTTTCCTTTTTTTCTCTCTTTTTCGAATAACGATCGAATTGATACGCATTTTTTATTGAACATATAATTTCTTACATATAGTATATATAAAATTATAGTACATATAATACATATAAAATTATTTCTTTTTATTAGATAGTGTATTGGACAGGACAAGCCTTTGAAACGGTAAGTACACACTATCTGTAAGTAATATAATATAAAAAGAACAGATAAAGAAAAAATTGCGTTTTATAATTTTTAAAGCGGTGGACGCTGAATCATATGATCCATATCTTAAAATTATTTTATAAAGTTCATATATACAATAAAACGAACATTTCATATATACAGGGTATATCTGAAATAATGCTAAACTTTAAGAGCGTATTCTCGAAGTCAAAATAAGACCCTTTTTTCCTATGAACATGGGTCCGCAAATGAACCTCTGAGCTAGAGGTCCCTAAAATTTCCTTTGGGAAAAAATTGAAAATTGGCTATATTATGGGTTGCCTTATTATTTGACCTCAGTTTTGACGTTACTTATCACCCTCTCTTGAGAGATAAATAAATTTGCGTTGCGGGTGTTTGGTCAATTTCACACATTTTCGAATTTTAGCTCGGAAGAGAGTTCATTTGCGGATCCATATTCATAAGAAAAAAAGTCTTATTTTGACCTCTAGAATATGCTCCTAAAGTTTAGTGCATCATTTCAGATACATCCTGTATATATATATATATATATATATATATATATATATATATATATATAATTATAATAAAAATATCATTTAATTTTAATTTAGAAATATATTTTTTCTTTAACGTAAAGTAGCGTATTTTGGAAAAAATAATTTAAAAATATAATAAAATTTTAAGTAAATTATAAGTACATTTAAATATAAATTTTAATATAAAATTTTATATTGGATGAGAAATGAGTAAAAAAATCTTACTATAAGTCATATTTAATTCCCAAAGTCTATCGTAAGCGCGGTTGTCACCGTTTGTTGTAACAGTAAAAGTTAAAGTAAAATAATTTTTTTGTTTAGCAATTCAACAACTCGATGCATATGGCAGATGATTTAAAAAATTATCCACAGAGGGAAGAAGCAGTACAAGAGTACCTAAATAAAACATTAACTTGGTAATTACGAAGGAATTATACATATATGTACGAGGGACATATGTATATTTTCAACAAAACATTAAAATATATATGTAATTACTGTAATATTTGTTATTGTAATTATTATTACTGTAATTGTTATTCCGCAATTACAATTGATAGGAAATAAATAACATATTTAAATGTACAGCAATGTACCTTTATTACAAAATTGTTGTGTATCAGAATATTACGAAAAGATTAATACTTCCTTGTATCATTTTTTTATCTATTATATTTAAAATGCTTACTTTTCAATTATATATGTTTATTATCATTTTTATATGTTTAAAGTGCTTGGTTCTAATAATGAATACATATTGAAGTAATAAATGTACGATTATTTGATATATCACAAAATAAAAAACACAAATTTTTATTATAATTAGTAACATGTATTCATTATTGTAACATTATTGTAACATACATGTAACATTATTTCTGGTTAAATTGTAATTGGCAATGATATTTAAATTATAATCAATGATTTATAATAAATGGATCCTGTGACTACACAAGCTTATCATTTTTATAACCTGCTAATGCGCCATTTTATGCATTTCGATAACAAATTATTTTTATAATAATTATGAATAAAAAATTGGTAAGATATAAAATTTACTTGAAGACTTACATTTATATATTACTTATATCTTGACGTTTCGGTTAATGCACGTGACATGCCTCTCTCTCTCTCTTTTACACACACACGCGCGTGCGTGCGTAAAGTAATTTTTTAAAAATATTTTTAATAGTTCAATAAAATAAATATGATTATTTTATCATCAAGGCTAATATATATATATATATATATATATATATATATATATATATATATATATTGATTACAAATGCCGTTGTTTGAAAAGTATATTTGCTTGAGAACAATTTTTCAGTCGTATCTTTATGTTACATATAACTCAGATATAAATTTTAATACACACGTTTTGCACATTTCACGTATATAATATGTGATATAAAGATGAATGACGTTATTTTATATGATTTATTATATATAACATATCAAGACATTCAAACTATAAATATAATATTTTCATATTTATGTTATTGAAAAATCGATTTAAAATTATTGTACCTATATTCGATATCTAGATTCGATTTCTTTCAATCAAAAAAGTTAAAATATATGTTTCTTTGATTGATTGCTATATTGTTTTCCCTTCTGTTTTTGTTTTCAACTTTGCTTTATTCTTTTTGCTCCCGCAAGAGGATTCGGGTCGGCCATGAGTTCAGATTAGCAAAAGCAGTGGCAGCAGATAATCCCTTCAGGATCGACCAAAGCTTTACTATAGAATTTAGAGATATTGTTATTTTGCAGAAAGCGTTATAACGATCCTGAGATAAAAATCGTAGATTTTCATAATGTTCATGATGTTCGACAAGATTATGAACAGCATATCAAAGTATTTCGTATTCAAAATACTAAAGAAAAATGAGTAAAATGTAAATAATAAATTATACTAAATCTTTTTATTGATTTAAAAAGTATGTTAATCTTTTTTTAAAGTTTGATAAAGTATTAAAATTAATATTAACAATAAAAAAAAGTCCAAAATATTTATACACATTATGAATCGTTTTAATATAATATAATTAATTTGAATTTCATTGAACATTTGTTTTTAAATATAATCTCATATTATTATATTAAAGAATTTTGATATAGTTTATCTATCATCTATTGAAAGTTTGAAGAACTAAGCTAATTTTAATAAGAATAAATGAAAAGGTAATTATTATATATATTAAAAATGTTAAAATAGATTATCTCTCTCTTAAAATATTATATTAATATTATTTTTAATTATATATTAATTATAATTTTTAATTTCTGCATTTTTATAGAAACGCGATTTTAATTCAAATATTTTATAAGTCTATATAATTTTTGCGACTGATCTCTTCAATATTTCAGTCCTACATTATGCGATAACACACGATAAAATGCGGTTTAAATATGTAAATATTAAATATTTTTTTTCCATATAATTTCATAGTCTTGTATAAATATTTTAATAACGTGCTATCTCTACATATACATCATTATACAAACTTATAAAGATATTATAATTATCGCTTTTTTATATACGTTTAATTGAGTCAGTTGAAGCGTTATAATTGCGTTAGATTTATATATATATATATATATATACATTTGTGACCACACACATACACACACACACACATATACACATGGAACAACAAAGTTTGTGTTCTTCAGTGAAAGTATTATTCTGTATAACGACCGCATGCTCAGAATAATAATTCGCCACGCGTATTAAGCTCGGACACAATCGCATTATTATAATTAATGCTCAGAGCGAGTTGCTATTTAAGCGGAATAGAGAGAGATAACGAAAGAGAATGAGAGAGAGAAGAGAAGAGAGTCGCCATCTGATTAAGCTCGCCGTCTGATTAAATATCCCTGCTGGGTTTATACTAAATTAATTACAGATGATTTGCGGATGAATTGTACTTTCTACAAAATTCATGACCATCTTTCTCTCTCTCATTATTGTAGCATGTAGCGAAACTTAAAATCGTCAGTAAGACTGATTAAACTATACTTTAATCTTTTTTTTAATGTATATATATATATATATATATATATATATATATATGTAGCTATATACGGGGATTTTCTTACCTTGGCCGACGTGTCGGACTTGTATCACCATCGCACGATTCCGTAGTGGACATATTGATTTCTGAAACATACAAAGCAAAAATGTTTTTTTAACAAAATTAAATATATTACATATATATATATATATATATATATATATATATATATACTTGAAAAATTTGAAATAAAAGGATTAAAACAAATAAGGACTTATAATATATTGTATCTGCTAATTAAAGAAACATGATTAATGTAATAACATAATATTGTGTGAATAAGTTATAAAAAGATTTCATCCAAGAAAAACTTCGATTAATTATTAAAATTAATTTCCTAAGAGAAAATTCCAAATAGCGTAGTTATCTTAATTGGCATAATTTGTTATAATTTAAAAATTTTATAAGAATATTAATAAAACTAATCGTCATTCCTCTTCGTTACTATTTTTTACTATTTATTTGCCTTGAATAATTTTTATTGTAAATTGATATTGATATGATGAAGAAAAAAATAAAACGAAGCGAAAGAAAGAGGCATTCTCTATATTTTTTAATTCTACGGATATATATTATATATATATATATATATATATATATATATATCTATTATATATATATATATATATATATATATATATAATAGATAACGTCTTTCATTAAGTAGTGTAAGAGAAACATCTGAATACGCTTACTTTCGAACAAGTTCAATAATAAAATACTAAATCCGAAAATAATGAATTAAAGCCTTTTTTAATTTGCCTAACGTCGATGTGCTACGGATACACGATGACAAAATACATAATTTATGATAATCATTAAGGTGAACAGATCAAATCATGCGGCATCGGCATATCGATGTGCGATTTCAAATCAATATAAATATGATACGCGCGCGCGTACAAATGCTTTGACAAGAGAGATGAAGAGAAAGAGAGAGAGAGAGAGAGAAAGAGAGAGAGAGCGAGAAGATTGGTCCTTTAGCCGTAAATTGTCGGTTTGCAAGTGACGACAGCTTTAGCTTTACCATCCCTTTGCTTTATGAAAGCTCTATTCAATTTGCTTTCATGTCTGTATATTAACGTATATAACGTAAGCCGCTCATATTTGGTCGACTGACCAAGAGAGGGTCCTAATCTGAATCTTGATCTGTCCGCAATCGATCTACCGCTCCGTTACACCTCCATTTCACATTCAAGCGTTCGATCGTGTTGTGCAATTTTCATTTTCTCATTTGGAAGTAAATCCGAGCTTGTTTTTGCAGCTAACAGATGCGCGATGCACAACCAACCACGATCAGTTTTTGCCCCGAAATTTTTTTCCTCTAACAAATTTCGCGAAAGTTTCCATCTGTATCACTGTCTACAAAGTTAAGCGGAATTTTTAGCTATTGCACACGCTGTTGAAAATAATATTTAACAATCAGCGTGGTATTTTACTTTATTTCTCTTGTCCAAATAAATCGTTATTTGTTTGCGAAAAGATATTTTCATGTGAATAAAAAAAAATATTTTTCAAAAATGCATAATATTGTGTAAAAGAATCTTAATAAAGGTATATAATTGTATGTGTGAACAGTCAATATTTATTACTGTGTTTATATTATTTTCACGATTTATTGAAAGCATTATTAATTAAAAGCATAATTCAAAATCTTTATTCAATATTTTATCTCCGAGAAAATAATTTAAACTATGTAAAGTGGAAATATTAATAGGAAAGCAATTTCTATATTCACATTAAATTTCTACTCTCTTAAATTGTATTGTTTAATGAAAGAAAAATGCAGTCTGCTTATTTTTAATGATATTTAAAAATATAATGTAACTTTATTTTTTGATATTATAAATAAATCAAAATAATATATATATTTTTAGAACTAAACTGTATAGGTATATATTATATTGTGTAGTGTATAAATGTGTTGTATCTTTATTTTGTAAGATATTTCGCATTTATTTCTCTAAAAAGAGAAATATAATTGCATCAAATGTACTATTTGAGACTATTTGTTTAAATTAGAGTTATTCGTAGCTATAATTACAATGAAAATCCATTGCAAAATTTAAAGTATATTACGCATTCTAAGATTCATCGAAATAAACAAGTTTTACGGTTTTACTCTGCTGGAATGTGTTCTCACGATCGAATATTTAGAATATTTGTCGCGGCGCCAGAAAAGTCTAACATAAGAAAAACAGGAGTCTGATCACATACGGGGGGACCATTTCACTCGATGTAGCTTTTTATGAAGCTAACTTTGTAGCCGGAAAGTAATTCCCCCATCGGCGTACGACTGCGTAAACGACGAGAAAAAGGATCGTCGGAATTCCTTCGGTGGCGCCTCGGCCACTTTTCATTATACAGCTACTTGAGCGACCGTTTGTGCGGACTGTCAAGGATATTGCACGTGAGAACGCGTTGCCTCGAGAAAATCAGTTTCATCGTACTATTCATCTTCTCTCCAATTCACCTTACCTCTCCTCTATGTTTTCTATGTCATTAACTTTTAATACGAAATATGTCAGAATTAAACAGAAAAATGGACGCAGAGTATTTCATTCTTTGTAGAGTTTGAATTAAAGTTTCAATTCTTGTTAGTAGAAAGATTATTAATAAGTATTAATAATTTTAGATAAATAATCATAGCACATGAGGATAATTTTTGTGAATTAAAAAGTCAAAGGCGATTGATAATGGAATAATATTTATTATTCTATTTAGCTACAGAATTCGCTTTCACACGTTAGTTTTCGTTGTCAAAAATGTCAAACGCTAAAATTGCAAAAGCTACGAATAATCCTTTATTTGTTTATTGATATAGATTAAGAGCAAAAATAAAAGAGTAAACGTATAACAACAGATTCTTTAATCTCTCTTCTTAAGATATTATCTCATTGTATGTGGATATATTCAAATTGATCTCTATTCTCATTTTACTTATCTGTTTTCTTTATAGATAAATATGATTCGCGAGAGCCTAATCGCAAAATTTATTAAACTTCGACTGTGTTACAATGCGTTTCAATTTCTCGATAGAATCCTATAATTCACAATCAATACGGCACGTGGAATATTGAATAATAAATAGAAACATAAATTCTACATTTAATAACGAATAACCGATAACGCATGCCTTCGAAAGTGAAGCGATATCGTTAACGCTATATATCGTTCTCGCAAATTTAATTCCACGCTACGAGCAGGACGAATTGTGCCTGTATTTAATGTTTAAATGTATTTACATTGGCTGCACCTCGAATGAAATTATCATCTATCTGATTACAACGTGAATAATCAAATGCTCTGTGAGTGATAAATATGTATGTATTATATGTAATCCATTATATATTTTTATGACTCTAAAAATGACCCCCAATAAAAATTTCATTAACGTAAACTATATCTATTATTAATTGGAGAATGTGATTTTAATTCTACAAATATAGTTTGTAAAAAGTCCCTCTTTGGCAATTAATCAAAATTTAATTCGTCTCGATTTTCGCTAACAAAAAAATCATTTTAAAATTGACCAGAGAATCTGTTATGAAAAGAACAGTCAGTGATTTTGATATATACATATACATGCATGTATACAAAATATAAAAAATGTATGACATGTATTCTCGTGCACTTTATTATTTTCGTTACGTCATAGGGGTGCGAATTTCATGACAATAGCAAATCGGCAAACAATACGTTTAATCAGCACTGGTGGCAGCCAATTAATACGCGGAATTCGCAGTAAATCTCACTTAAAAGGACAGTTGCTGTAATTAGAAATCCCTCTCTCTCTTTCTCACTTTCTCGCTCGCTCTATGACGTATCACACCGTTCAACCCTCTCTATAACGTTCTCTTCCATGCCTCGCCGTGTGACCTACTGTAGAGAATTCCTCTATATCGATTCGTCAAATGTACTCTCGATAACGTTATATCTCTCGATTTATATATATTTTTTACATTTTCAGAAAATTAATAAGAGAAAATAGAACAGTATGATATATTACCGCATTCCTATTATATAATATTTATATATAATACAATATTTAAAATAATTTAAAAACACCTCCATATATTAGCACAAAAATAATCCTGGAATTGGCTAGTTTTTTAATATATTTTAAAAGCTGAAATATATATACGTACTTTTTATTTTATTTATGTAAAAAAGAATAAAAATCATAGAACATGAAAAGTCATATTTTATCAAAACAACACACATTAATATGTTCAATAAAATGTATATAATATTACATATATTATATAATAATACATATATTACATAATATTACATATATTATATAATAATAATTATGTGGTAATTAATTTATATTATATATTATATAATAATACATAATATATAATATAAATTAATTACCACACCATTATTATCGGTTGCAAAAATTGGTTCCTTTATCAGTGCACAATGTCAAGAGTTCAAAAAAAAAGAGGAACACATGGGCGATAAAAACGTCGTCACGAGCAACGTAAATGTAAAAGATTGCATAAGCATCTTTTGCATATATATAGACGTAATTACGTATACGAGCGCTACCGGAAACACCCACGTTTTTGTATTATAAAGATAGAATAACTGAAATGCTCATTATTTTAATCGAGTTATTATCTTATATGGAATAAATACAGGATGTTGCAAAATTACCGTCACTTTTTTAATCGAGAAATTTTTTGGTACATTTTTTTCCGTACATGTTAAACGAAAATCTAATTAACGGCTGTCATATTTAAAGTTAAAGTTAAATGTCCTTGTATTTAAGCAACGAATTAATTAATCTATTTCAAAAACTTGATATTAATTAAAAGATCAAAGTTTTACTATTCATTTGCATTCTTAAAACTCGATTCATGAAAAATTCCACGAATTAAAGTGCCAATAATCCACTTGATATTAATTAAAGATTAAGGTTTGATTACTAATTTGCATTTCTAAAATTCGATTCACGAAAAATCTCTCAATCACATTAATAATTCAAAAGATATATACATTTCGCGAATGCGATTTCAAATTAATCCAAGAAATTAAGGAAAAAATTGCAGTCCTAAATATTTTGTAAAAGAGTGAT